CATCAGAAGGGCAGGTCCTGGGACAGAAGCCAGGGAGGCACTGCTACTGTGGAGGATACTGCAGGAAGCCAGGCCAGCACGGACCCTCCTGGGAACCAAGGGCAGCAGGTTACTGTCAACTGACACTTGTTTCTGTCCCTTTAATGTTTCTCCCTCTCCTCTGCTCCAGACCATTGGAGACTCTCAAATTGGAGAAATAAAAGGAAGAGAGCCTCAACCCTTCTCCTCCACTGCAGACTGCCACATCTAAGGTGGGCCAGAGTGGTGGGAGGACAGAAGCATTAATGGGTAAGAGGTGGCTAGACTAGAATTTTTGGTTTGGGTTTTGGTTTTTGCTTTCTTCTCATTTTCCTTCTTTTATTTTGTTGTCATCGTCTAAGATTAAAGTTGTTGCTACTAAGTTAACAAAATAAAGCCATGGTATCTTCCTGAAAGTTCTAAAAGGTGAGAACCATGAGACTAGTGACCAGATTTGCAGGGGCAGTGAAGAAAAATCACACTGCTTTCTGCTTATCTCCCAGAGCCCAAATCATTCCATAAACACTAGTGAGACATCAGAAACGTTGCAGGAATGAAGAAAAATGAATCCATTATATTTGGACCTTACGACTATTTTATGAAAAGTCAAAAGTAAGACTTTTTTGTTCTTTGAAAGAATTGTGGCCCTCCCTGCCCTGAGTGTCCAGAGTGGCTGAGCTCATCTAGAAGGCAGGCTGGCCCAAGCACCTCTCAGCATGGTACCTGGGTGAGATTTTAAATGAGTTTCCCAGGGTGCTTCTCTGTCTTGCTCTGGCAAAGATGACTTGGCCATTCAGAGCTTCATTCCTAAACAGCCTGCACACTTTCTCATTATTTTTTAGTGCATTGTTCTCTGTGTTGTCATACAATCTTCGTTTTTTTGGCATTTTTAAAACTTGTGTTTTAGATTCAGAGGGTATACATGCGTGTTTGTTATATGGATATATAGCGTAATGGTGAGGATTGGACTTCTAGTATACCCGCTCCCCAAATATTGAACGTATTCAATAGGTAATATTTCAGCCCTAGTCTCCCTGCCACCCTTTTCCCTTTTGGATCCCCCAGTGTGTATTATTTTCATCCATATATTCATGTGTAACCGTTGTTTAGCTCCCACTTAGAAGTGAGAACATGCAGTATTTAGTTTTCTGTTCCTGCATTAATTCGCTCAGGATAATAGCCTCCAGCTCCATCTATGTTACTGCAAAGGACATGATTTCATTCTTTTTAATCGCTGCATAAAATTCTGTGGTGTATGTATTAATATATTACATTTTATTTAAACAATCAACCATTGATGGACAGTTAGGTTGGTTCATGACTTTGCCATTGTGAATGGTGCTTCAATAAGCATACAAGTGCAGGTTTCTTTTTTAAGAGTAAAATAAACCCAACATATCTAGAACATAAAAGTGAGTTAGAAAATATGCAAATAATAAAGTGACCCCTAGAAGAGTATTTACAAGATAGAGAAAGGACACAGAGGTGGAAGGTGAGTGGGTGGGAGAGGGGATGCTAAGGCTGCCAGAGCAGGTGGCATCTGGATTTGAATGACAAACAGCCACAACAGGACTAAATGTTAGGATATAATACTTACTGGGGGCTATGTTGTAGGCACTGTCCAAAATTGTTTACATGTATTAACTTACTTAATTCTCACAATTCAGGTACTTTTATTCATAGTCCCATTTTACAGATGATAACAATGAGACACTTGGGATTTAAGAAACTTGTTCAAGGTGCCAAGCCGACAGAACTGGTCTGCAGACTCAGGCTATCCCAGTCTAACACCATTCTGCTAGAATGACAAGCAAGAGCTTGTTGGGTGGGTTAAGGGAGTACTCCAAGTGCAGAGGCACAGAGACTGTGGCTATGTGGTGTTTCTGAGAAGTTGCATGCTGAGTGTATCAGTAGTGATAAAATGCCCAGTTTGGGTGAAGGAAGAGGAGAGAAGACTGGCATGAGTTGTTGGCCAGGTAAGCTGGCAGCAGATTATGAAGGCTGCCATTTTGTATACCATACTAAGGGGTGTTAGCCTGTAGGAGGAGATAGGGAGAGTGGTATTTTAGAAAGGTCATTTGGCTACTGGATGAAGATTGGAGGGAGGTGACAAAACAAGAGCCGGGGAGGCTAGTTAAGAAGCTTTTACAATATCCAGGTGAACAAGGCAAGGACTAAGATTGTGGTGGAACAGGAAAAAAGGTGATGGAGTTTGGTAGAGATTTAGGGGTAGGTTGGACAAATCTGGTTAGTTGACGAAGGAGAAGAAGGGGCTTAAAATGGGTTTTCAGCTTACACTGCTGTTAATTAGGGGACACAGAAAGGTTGACAGTGAAGATGTTGAACTCTGTTTGGAAGATGTCCAACTCTGTTGGATATATGATGTCTAGTAACACTTAAGGGCACTGGTAGAATAAATGTGTGTTGACCTTAGCAGAGTGTTTGCTGTAGACATACATAAGAATGGTTGTAAAGACCAGATCTACATAATCAGTACTCTTATTTAAAATCACAAAATTTAAGGTCAGAAGCGGTGGTCCTGTAGTCTTAGGACTTTGGGAGGCTGAGGCAGGCTGATCCCTTGAGCTCAGGAGTTCGAGACCACCCTGGGCAACATGGCAAAACCCCGTCTCTACAAAAAATACACAAATTAGCTGGATGTGGTGTTATGTGCCTGTAGTCCCAGATACTTGGGAGGCAGAGGTGGAGGCAGAAGTGGGAGGATTGCTTGAGCCCAGGAAGCAGCAGTTGCAATGAGCCGATTACAGCCCTGAACTCCAGCCTGTGTGATAGAGTGAGTGAGACCTTATCTCTCTCTTTCTTTCGGTCTCTTCTGTCATACACACACACACAAACACACACACACAATAAACCTAAATAAAATAAAATCACAAAATTTTAAAAGCTAATATTGTCTTATGAGTATTCTCTTTTCACTCTTTAATTTGACTGTATATTCATATATGATTTTTTTATTCTTTGTAGACCATGCCAGTGCTATTCATAGCCACCTTCATACATTATTCTTCTTAGTCTACTGGTATTCATCATATTAGGGCAATGTTAGTTTACAAATCTAACTCTTTTGAAATATAACATTAAATATATTAGCAGACATTACTAAGTTTTGCTATATTTCCTGTATGTTGCATGTACCCAAATATATTAGTCGCAAACACACAAAAAAAATCAAATAGTTTCTTTATAATTTCAAAAAGTCCAAACTAAACTGTAAGCTTTGCATATCAGTGTTGAAAATGAGATTTTTAAATGCTAGAAGTAAGATGTCTGATTCTTCACTGTCTGTATAGCCTTGTGTTGACGTTTTTGCATTTGGATGAGCAAACACCTCCTCCAGTCATTATGGACTGGTTTTGGTAGGTAAAGAATTTTTGGGGGGGTCTCTGAGCTGCTAGGATTGCCTCCAGGATTGCAGTTGAGTAGGGATGCAGCCAAGTTAGGTGGCTGCTGCTGGGTCTACAGTGGGGAACACGTTAGTGGGCTATTACTAAGGACTTGAGCAGGCTTGGATCCTGTCTGGCCCCTGGAAAGAACAAACTGCTTCCAGGACCTTGGTCTGTAGAGTTGGTGCTGGGTAAAGAATATGCTTCAGGCTTCACATTTGGGTTGGCAGATGGTGGGCCTGTTACCAGGTACACAGATGAGTGTATATTCCTTCAGGTCCCTTGGAGTGTTCCTGCTGGGCTACTGAGTTGGTCCCTGGGCAAGGAGAATTGGCCATGGACCGTGGCTGACAGGGGCTTGAATGGAATTACAGGGCTGCTTCATGGCTTACACTGAGACTGGGATCTGCAGACATGCCTCCAAAGACACAGACAGGCAGGCCTCCTGCTGGACTCCTGGGCAAGCAGGACTGCTCTTCGACCATGGCTGAGTGAGCTGGAACTGGGTCAAAGGGCTACTTGGTGCTTCTCCATCAGACTGAGGTCAGCAGCCTGCATTGATGGGCTTTTTCCTGGCAGATCTCTGGGTGGACAGGACGGCTTCTAAACCAAGGCTAGGAAGGGACAGAGCTAGGTTGCAGGGCCACCCTAAGATCTGCAGTGGAATCAAGATTGGTGGGCCTGCCTTTGGGGCACTGACAGGCATAGCTTTCAGCAAGCCCCTGGGTGGGCAAGACTGCTTTCAGACTGCAGCTGAGAAGGGATGGGGCCAAGTTAAAGGACTATTTCAAGATCTGCTATGAGACTGAGGTCAGCTGACTTGTTTCTGAGGGCACAAATAGGCATGACTCCCAGCAGGTGCCTGGGCAAGCAGGCCCGGTCTCAAACTGCAGCTGAGAGTGGGTTTAGTTGAGTTACAGAGCTGATTCATGGTCCACACCTGAGACTAAGGCCCATGGGCCTGTCACCAGAAGCACAGGTTAACGTGATTCCTTCCGGATTTCTTGGCAGATGGTTATCGTGGCAGGACCAAGCCCAAACAGAGTTGTAGCCAAGTTCACAGGAGGATGAGGCCATTTTTGGGTCTGTAGCTGGGACTGTGGTCAGTGAGCCTGCCACCTAGGTGCAGCCTACCACTCAAAACAGCCCTCTTCAGTCTCGGGCTCCACCAGGGCTTTGGAATCTTCTATCCAGGGCCCAAATCTCCCCCCAGGGCACTTTTGTCCATGGATGGCAGCCCAATTCTTGTGGAGTGGAAGTTCTGTTCTTCCATCTTGCTCTTTACTATTGTAGTTTGCATGGCTGATAGTTAGAGCAACTGATCATGCTTTGTGTTTTATAGGATAATACGTGCTACATAGTGCATGATACTTTTTAGCATGTATTTCAATAAAAAGTTGCTTATTAAAATTGTATGCAAGTTATAAAAATAACATAACTTCACAAAACAGTAGCTTAAAAGATGAAATGTTTTCTATTGGTGTCTAATTTTTCCTGGGTCTTTAATTTAGTGTTAATGCCTGATTTTTAATGTCTAGTGTCTAATTAATTTTTAATGATGCTTTTTTTTGTCCACAGCAATTCTTTGAGGTAGAAGAAGAGAAGCTTTCTTTGCAAGATGCGAGTAGTGTCAAAACAAATATTTTGTTAAGAAAACTGAAAGAGAAAGAAGACATTATTAAAGAATTAAAAGAAGAACTAGACCAATATGAAGATTTTAGATTTCATAAAATGGTAAGTTTCAAGGCAAGGAATAATTAATTTTAATATATGTAAATAAAGTCATAGTTAAGAGCTTGGGTTAAGGATAAATTAAATCCAATTGATGCATTTGGGCATCTCTCCATAATATAAGCCAGTCTATTTTCTGCTCAGTGGTCTATTCTAGAAAACCCATAACAACATGAATAGGAGCAATATAATGGTTCTTAATTTTTATTTATAATGGAAATAAAATAACCTACCTCCCACTGCAAAAAATGTCCTACTCTAGAAGAGCATGGGAATGGACTTTTATTGTAACCAAAGATTCCCACCCTTCTTTGCAGTCAAGGTAGTTTGAAAGACACAAAGCTAATCTTTCCAAGCCAGAGCTTCCAAGAAGCTAACTTGGAATGGAATAACATTTAAATAAAACTATCAAGAAGAAAAATCTCAGAGGATTTTCCCCTCAGTGCTCTCTGTTGCAGTGGGAGCCAAGGACTGCTTTACTGTTGGACAAACTACTGATGGGAGCAAAAATGGAATGAGTGAGGAGGCAGAAAGAAGAACCTAAACTCATCAAGGAGGAAGTTTAAGGGCTTTGGAAAGTGGGGATCCTGAGAGCGAATTCATCTTCATCTCATCTCTGCTCCAAGCCCCCAGCTGTCTCAGGCCCAGCCATGGTTCAGAGCTGGAGAGGATTTTGTTATTAAGTTCTAAGAGCAAGAAGCTGGTTGTTTCGATTTGGAAAGGCTAACAGATGTTGGGACCCAGGAAGAATAAAGTCTATTGATTACCAATAGCAGGTATCAGATGCTTCATCGATGGCATCTCTTCTCATTCTCACAGCTCAGTTTACAGATGAAAAAGCAGAGATGGGGTGGTTAAGAAACTTCCCCATGGGCACATAGGTAGTAGGTGGTAAAGATGGTCTGTGAACCAAGGCTCACCTGAATCTAAAGTCCACTTACAGAGGGGGAGCTTTATCCTGTACAGTAAAAAATTAAAGTTTGTAGTGAATATATAACATACATATGCATATAGAAAATGTATAGATTATAATGCATAGACTATGTTATAACATATTATAATGTAACATAATACATTAATAATTATTAATAGATTAATACACATAGAAATATTGACACATGCATACAGGAAAATCTGAAAAGTTATATGCCAAAATGTTAACACTAGAAAGAGACACTTATGGGTTGCTGATGCCTTTGAATACAATCTATGGTTTATCTAAATCTCTCACTAGTACTCTTATTTAAGACTTAAAGTTTATAAGAGATAATGAATCAAATGCAAACCATTCTATAGGATCATATTTAAACTGGTTTAAATGTTTGCTTCGTTTAAGTGTTTGCTTTGTTAACCTATTAGAAATCTTTATATCTAGAAAAAAAATTGAGCACCTTCTAAGCAATACAGTGTTGTGTCAATAGCATAAATCTAATAAAATTGAATATTAATTTTTTTATATGTCTTGGACTAGGAAGCACAGTTTTTGTGTTTGCTTTTGAAAAACCTTTTCTTGGGTTTACAATTACTTTTACTTTTTGGAGAAAACAGTTTAATAGAAAAGACTAAAAGCTGTAATAGTTTGCTTTTAATCCTGCCTTGGTCAGAGACATCCAGTGTAGATGTGGCAAGGCAATTTTGATTCATTTATTTGCCATTTGTGAAATGCAACATGATACTCACCTGGCTAAGGTGGAGAGTTATGATAAGAACACCGGCTGTGCTGAATGTAAATTGCTTTGAGTTCTTTGAAGAAATATTAGTGTATCAATTCAGTTATTATAAGGAAATGCAGAAATCCTTATAACCATTGGTTTATATTCCATAAAACGTACCAAACAGACCTCCGGACTGTTGAGAGCACCCCAATTGGGTAAGACAGTTCCCTACACTCTTGACATGTTTATACCTCTAATCGTTCTCTTCAGGTGGTTACCTGGCTCAGCTGGACATTCTGGGGAAAGCATGAGGATGGGCTGTGGCTTTGTGAAGAGGGCAGCAGGTGGGAGCCACACAGGCTCATGTGTAAACAGGCTGCCCTCTGGCTTACAATGGCATCCAGAATACCCTGGTTATTCCATTGCAATTAGCCCCCAAAGAGCACATTCGAATTTCTGTAAACAATCTAAGATTTGAGGAAGGTGAGGTGATTCTGGTTAACGGGGTGTATGGATTTCTCCTAGGGATTCCAACTAAACGCAGGGCTCTGCTCTCCCCTCCTGACTGAAGGTGATGGAAAGCATACGTGTGTCCATTTCAAGAACACAGACGTGGATGCCACAAAGGCAGATCATGGCTTATATCAAATAATAAGAAACACGCTTTTTTTTTTTAAACATTCTCTAAGAACATGCTTTTCTAAAAACATGCCACTTAAGTTCTAGATGATCTTTTTTATTTGAAATTTGAGCTAATTCAACTGCCCCCTCTAGTGGTATTTTGAAAACCCCTGGGACACCAAGTCTGGAATTAGATTGGGAACACAGAATTTGAAAAAACAATTAAAAACTTCAAAGTAGCAGTGGAAGTAAGTTGAAAAAAAAAAGTGAAATAAACAAGCTTTATTTAGTTTATCTAAAGTTATCTAGTTTACTCTTAGTGATTATCAAATTACTTCAATAGCTTCATAGTTAATAAGGAGTTGTAATCTTTCTCATCTCCAGATGGGAACATCCTGAATGTTGAACTTTCCCAAGAGCAACTTCATTCAAGGGATGAAATGTTCAGGTTTTATTCGGTGGGAAATCAATGTGACTCAGCTGAATACCATTGTAGTCACTGGGTTTCCATGCTGTCCGTTGGCTAATCCTCTTGAGAATTTATAAAGAAGGTTAGCCTTTATGTCTGTCTGTCTCTCTCTGTCTCTCTCTCGCTCTGTGTGTGTGTGTGTGTGTATGTGTGTGTGCCTGTGCATGTGTTTTAATTTCAATTGCAGCTGGCATTTTGAATAGACTTTTCATTTTTTTCTTATCCCAACCCTGATGAGCCCTGTAACCATCACCCACCTACCTTCCATTGCTGAGCATATCTGCTTGTTGCTGACAGCTCTGAAACAGATGTCATTCAAGAGTGGCAGCTCTGCAGGGTTGCACTTCCCAGAGTGCCACTTTCCTGGCTGTCACTCATTGGAAAAGCACCTGCTCTTCTCTGTGACTGTCATGAAGCATGGGCTTGCATCAGAACTCTACTCCTCACCAGAAAATTGAGATGTCCAATTCAGTGGAGCCTGTGGAAGGGAAACTGCTGAGAAGGCACAGAAAGTGCTCTGAACCAGGACTTCTCAGACTTTACCGCTCACATGAATCACCTGCAGATCTTGTTAGATGCAGACTCTGACACCGTAGCCCTGGGTTGGAACCGAGGGGCTGCATTTCCAATCAGTTCCTAGGTGATGCTGAGGCTCCTGGTCTATGGACCACGTTTGAGGAGCAAGGCTCCCAAGTATACCTGTTTTCAAAAATGATTCTTCTGAGATTCAGTTTGCAATTCTGTGCATCTCGTGAATATTCACAAAAGATACAGCACATATGCCACCACCTGAAGTCCTGGTTTTTATAATGTGAAAGAAACTTGAGATTGGCAAGTTTCTTTGTAATTTAAAAATTCCAGAATGATCATGGCTCACACACAGTCTCTCTTACAGTGTGGTTTAAATGGCTACATCCAGTTAACCACCTTTTAATTGATCGCCATCCTTCCTAACCTCATTTTATTAGTGCAATTTATTTTTTTTAAGTCTCTTGGTTTAAGCAAGCAAAAACCAACAGTGTGGGCAGATGGCAGAAGGAACACCACCACAAAACCTGCCACTCAGGGTGTAACAGGACCGTAGCAGCTCAGAACGATCCCTTTGTTCATTTTGCTAATGAGTGTCCTCATTGCTGTGGGCATCTGAATAGTTAATTACTTGCAGTTCCCGCAGCTGACAGATGGTGGGGACAGAGCTAAGGGTTAACCTTGGAAGAAAAGGGGCTGTGGATTGATATGTGGAGGACAAACCCCCAGATTTAATGTGTTTTCCTTGACTCCTGCTTTCATACAAAGAGATTCTTAGAACCTGTGGTTAGGTATTAGCTGCTACCACTTGTAAATTTTACACTTCATCTGTTTAATTCAAATAGTTTTTCATTAGTTTATGAGACTCGGGTGCTCGTGTAATCCTCTGTGGATGTTCATATTCTGCCCCTGTTAGGAAAAGTATGCTTAAGCCTATTAAGGCCAGTATTGTTTGTTTCTTTCTTTCTTAAAAAAAAAAAAAAAAAGAAAGAAAAACCCTTTTAGTCTATAAATACATTCTGTGAGGGTCTCAAATTGAACAATGTGGGACAAGAAATTAATGACTGGGATTCTTCCTTTATTAAGAAAACAGTGTTGTATATTAACTACTTACTAGGTTTGTTAGTTCTCATTAGTTAAGAATGAATTGGGCTCAAATAATTTAAATGAAATGGTGAATCAAAGTCATGAAGATTTGTAATTGAGCCTAGTACAAAATTTAACAATATGTTTTAAATATTAAAAATACAAACTCTTACACACACACATGTATATACCATATGTAATTTTATTAGTAAGTTGCTTGTTTTAAAGGACTTAATAATGTACTACAAAAATTTTCAATCACTTCTTTTTCTTTAAAACTGTTACAGGGGAAAAATCTTAATAATTTAATTCCACATATCCTTAAACTTAAATGAAAGTGTAGTTCTAAAAGAAATCAGTCTATTAAAAGAAATGATTTTGTTTTTGAGAGAAGATTTTGTTCTTATTTATTGCAATAATGGAATTACTGCAAAAAGAGTAAGTTATAATTCACTTACGATGACCTTAAGTTCAAAAGCATTTTTAATGTCTATAGTAATTTTGAAACAAGGCATGTGGAATCTCCTATCTCCTTTGGATTAATATTTTGAAATTGTACAATCTGTTTAATATTATACCACAGTAAAGTATAAAGTTCTGCCCCAGCTTCCCCAATCCATTACATCTTAATTTTTTTCAGTGTGGCAGTAAAATCTAGACAACCATAAGGGAGTATATTCAGATGTTTTCAATAGCTTTGAAACAGACAAGAAGAAGACGGCAAAAAAAAAAAAAAAGAGTAGCTGTCCCAATAAGCGCGTCTATTGCGTAAGAAAAAGCCTCTCCCATAATGGACATGGCAAGAGTTAAACAAAAGACGCACATAATAAAAATGTAAATGAGTTTGCTTTACTAAAACTATAACTTTAAAGTCTTTTGTTGTAAGTTATCCTGAAACCTTCTTACAAGGTAATCACTGTTTGCATAGAGATTTAAACTGAAGTCTTCAATAGCATTAAACGCCTGCACAGACCCCGTGTGACAAGCATGCAAAGCCATGTTAATGTTCAGAATATGAATTGCCTCTGGGTGGCTCCTCCACCAAGCAGAAAACCAACTGTGTGGATATCCGTGTGCCTGATGGACTCCATGCGGCTCCCAGCCTGAAAACGTCACCACTTTGACATGTGATGTGCTCCTCATGACACTGGCAGCACTGACACTGGGAAATGCCACAAAGGCAACAAGCCCCCCTCCTTAGCCATGCACTCTGCCACCCCCTGGCGCTGCCCGTCCTGGTCCCCCCAGCCTGCCTAGTTACAGGCGGACAGCACTTCAGACACACACAGAGGGAAGTGTGGGTGGAGGGGCCCCAGCTGCCTCCCCGGACACAGCCTCCATAATGAATTGACCTGAATGATGAGGGCACACAAACAGTATGATATGCATTATTCCTGTCAATAAAATGTCCCCATGTGCTGAGGTCTTTGTACAGAATGTACTGGAGCCTTTCTTCCAGCAAGCTCTGTTTAGGCTCCTTCCTTCTTACTATTCGTATTATAAGTGTGTAATAGAATTCAGAAAATTATATGATAGCTTTTCTGTATCTGTATTGTCCTTGTCTTGCATATTTAAATCATTGGCTCCCTGCTTAGGAATATGGCATATCCCATCTTACAGGATTCTTTTGCCAAAGAAACCAGCTCTCCAAAATCAAACCTAGAAAAGGAAAATTTGGAGTACAAAGTGGAAAATGAGAGACTGCTTCAGATCATTTCAGAGCTTGAAGAAGAAATCCAGATCAATCTAAAAGAAAATTCAGGATTAGGTAACATTTTGAAATCACTTTTAAGAAAAATCTACATATTGATCACTTCATAAAGCTCATAAGTATGTTTCTCTTTTCCATACATTTGTTTGGTTATTTACATTTGAAAGATCAATTTCGTAGCCATCTTTGGTTTTCATGATGGATAGCATTTCTTGCTTGGGACGGAGGATGTGTTTGTAGTTCTACTGTGAGCATTTCATGTTAACTCAGGGTGTTGTTTTGAGCCAGATATTGGCCTTTGCAAAAATTTGCTAATCAACGCTCCATTTCACTTAGAAATATTATAAAAGATAGAAACTTTTGCTGCTTTGTTTCAGATGCTTAACTGATTATCTAAACTTGATAACATTTAAGTATTTAAGAATACATAGGGATATGCTTTGTAGAAAAAAACAGAGTTAGCCCTTCAGGAAAATATGCTACTACTTACTAGTTATTTTGATTCTTGAACAAAACTTAAATATACAATTTCATTTGTATACTTTACACCCCTTTTCTTTCATACCATAAACATTGGTGAAAGTTGTGTTTAAATCACCAAAGTTGTTAGAACATATGGAAAAGGGGAAAAAAAAATCACGAAAGTTTATTGCTTTAATGTGTTTTTTCATGTAACTGTCATTCATGTGATTATCTTCATTATATGATGTTTTCCTTAATCTACAGTATTCAAAGCAATGAGCAGGCAATATAACGAATTATAGCAAAATATCAATAAAATGAGATTAATAGTATCCCTTGGATATGAAATTCTACCATGCCAGTACGGTCTCGTTCTCTTCTGCCATGGCATAGCGAGGCTTTTTAGTTTGGGGTCGTTCTTATTAAGTCATAAACTGCCACCTGCTAAAGCTCTTTGTATTGGCTGTGACTAACAGCAAAAATGTCCATCGCTAGTATTGATGAAAAGCTTTCAGCCCTCACCACACTTGGATCTTGAACTTACTTCTTAATCCCTATCTGACCAGCCATCTGAACAGCAGGAAGAAGGCTGTGAATGTCAAGGGCAGTTGTGAAGGTCACAGTCCTGCTAGGCCTTGCGTCCACCATGCCTGTGAGTGGCCCACAGCCTGCCCTGAGGCAGGCCGTTTGAATACAGGGGCATAAGCGTGTAATTTCATGGTTGGCCTCTCTCTCCTTTTGTTTACAGAAGATGAACTTATAAGTATGAAAGAGATGGCAGAAAAGGATCACAAAACTATTCAAAAGGTACTGTAACATTTTTACGTTGTTAAATGACTCTTTTAAATGGAACTACAGGCGCAATTGGCCAAATAACACTGTGTCCGGAGTGTCTTATCACAGAGAGGAAAGTCGATTCACAGGTTTAACCTCTCCCCACTATTTGGGCAGAGTGACTAGAAGCAAATAAGGACTCCATCTTGAAAACTCATGGATGTATAGATACTTCTTTTGTTAGGGATCACTGACCATCTGCCTTATTGATTTTAAGGCACCAGGAAGTTACATGACACAGGGAAGCCTGAAGATGAGCTTGCAGTTATGGAAAAAATTATATTAAAAACAGTCTTGTTTTCAGATCAGATGCTGGTTGATGTTCATGAATGAGCTGGGTGTATGTTATCTGGTAAATATTTAGAGCAGGGAATTCTTTTGGCAGAACAAAAATCAAGCTTTCCTAGGTGGGGCTCAGTGGCTCACCCCTGTAATCCTAGCAGCTTTGGAGGCCAATGTGGGAGGATCTCCTGAGCCCAGGGGTTCAAGGCCAGCCTGGAAAACATAATGAGACCCCACCTCTATAAAAATAAAAAAAAAATTACCCAGGTGTAGCGGTGCACATCTGTAGTCCCAGCTACTCAGGAGGCTGAAGTAGGAGAATTCCTTAGGCTCAGAAGTTCAGGGCTGCAGTGAGCTAGAATTGCACCACTGTACTCCAGCCTAGACAACATATTGAGACCCTGTCTCAACCACACATACACATACATCACCAACCCTCACAACAAGAAGATTTCCTAGTGCATTGAATTGAATGCAGCAGGATCTCAGCAATTCCTGCTCTCCCTGCACATGTAGGGCTCCCTGTTCTGTTCTCGTTTATCCATAAACCTCCCTCTTGTGGCTCTCAATTACCTTTCTGTTATGGTCAATCTTCCCTTCCCTGCTGGAGGCTCCACGAAGGTGGAAACTGCACTATCTGGTCTCTTAGTGGGGAGTACGGTGAAAAATATGCACTGAAAAATATTCCAAGAGATTAATAGAATAAGAATGCATTTACAGTGCATATAATTTATATATAAACAGATTCACATCCCCAAATTATTCCAAATAAGCATAAATGTCTTCCAGTAACTGAACCAAGCACCCATTTTTAAGTTAAAATGAATTCAAGTTAGACAAAATTAAGAATTCTGTTCCTCAGTTGCACTGGCCACATTTGAAGAGCTCAACCACCACATGTGCCTAAGTTTAGGTTCAGATTTCAACCAGGTCTGATATTGCTGTTCAAGATATTCTTTTTATTTATTTTTTAAAAATATTTGTCCTGGCCGGTCGTGGCGGTTCACGCCTGTAGTCCCAGCACTTTGGGAGGCCGAGGCAGGCGAATCACGAGTTCAAGAGATGGAGACCATTCTGGCCAACATGGTGAAACCCGATCTCTACTAAAAAATACAAAAATTAGCTGGCATGGTGGCACACACCTGTAGTCCCAGCTACTCGTGAGGCTGAGACAGGAAAATTGGTTGAACCCGGGAGGCAGAGGTTGCAGTGAGCTGAGATTGTGCCACTGCACTCCAGCCTGGTGCCTGGTGACAGCACAAGACTCTGTCTCAAAAAATATATATAGTTGTCCTTTATTTCTTTTAAAAAAAATGGGATACATGTGCAGAACGTGCAGGTTTGTTACATAGGTATACATGTGCCAAGGTGGTTTGCTGCACCTATTGACCCATCCTCTAAGTTCCCTCCCCTCACCCCCCACGCCCCAACAGGCCCTGGTGTGTGTTGTTCCCCAATCTGTGTCCATGTATTCTCAATGTTCAACTCCCACTTATGAGTGAGAACATGTGGTGTTTGGTTTTCTGTTCCTTATTTGTTGAGGATGACAGCTTCCCGTTTCATCTATGTCCCTACAAAGACAGGATCTCATTCCTTTTTATGGCTGCATAGTATTCCATGGTGTATATGTATCACGTTTTCTTTATCAAGTCTATCACTGTTGGGCATTTGGGTTGGTTCCATGTCTTTGCTACCATGGATAATGCTTCATTAAACATATGTGTGCATGTATCCTGATGGTAGAATGATTTATATTCCTTTGTGTATGTATCCTGTAATAGGATTGCTGGGTCAAATGATATTTCTGCTTCTAGATCCTTGAGAATTGCCTTCATGGAACCTCCAGTAGGGCAGGGAAGATTGACCATACTATCTTCCACAATGGTTGAATTAATTTGCATTCCCACCAACAATGTAAAAGTGCTCCTATTTCACTACAGCCTCACTGTCATGTATTGTTTCCTGACTTTTTAATGATCGCCATTCTGACTGGTGTGAGATAGGGTCTCATTGTGGTTTTTGATTTGCGTTTCTCTGATAACCAGTGATATTGAGCTTTTTTTCACGTTTGTTGGCCAAGTAAATGTTTTCTTTAGAGAAGTGTCTGTTCATATCCTTTGCCCACTTTTTTTTTTTTTGTTTTTTTTGGGACGGAGTTTCGCTCGTTACCCAGGCTGGAGTGCAATGGCGCGATCTCGGCTCACCGCAACCTCCACCTCCTGGGTTCAGGCAATTCTCCTGCCTCAGCCTCCTGAGTAGCTGGGATTACAGGCACGTGCCACCATGCCCAGCTAATTTTTTTTGTATTTTTAGTAGAGACGGGGTTTCACCATGTTGACCAGGATGGTCTCAATCTCTTGACCTCGTGATCCACCCGCCTCGGCCTCCCAAAGTGCTGGGATTACAGGCTTGAGCCACCGCGCCCGGCCAGAAGGAAGACGCCCACTTTTTGATGGGATTGTTAGTTTCTTTCTTGTAAACTTGTTTAAGTTCCTTGTAGATTCTGGATATTAGACCTTTGTCAGATGGGTAGATTGCAAAGATTTTCTCACATTCTGTAGGTTACCTGTTCACTCTGATGATAGTTTCTTTTGCTGTGCAGAAGCTCTTTAGTTTAATTAGAGCCCATTTGTCATTTTTGGCTTTTGTTGCCATTGCTTTTGGTGTTTTAGTCATGAAGTTTTTGCCCACCCATATGTCCTGAATGGTATTGCCTAGGTTTTCTTCTAGGGTCTTTATGGTTTTGAGTTTTACATTTATGTGTTGAGTTAATTTTTGTCTAAGGTGTAAGAAAGGGGTCCAGTTTCAGTTTTGTGCATATGGCTAGCCAGTTCTCCCAGCACCATTTACTGAATAGGCGATCCTTCTCCGTTGCTTGTTTTTGCCAGGAGATAGTTGCTTCGACTATCTTTGTCGAAGATCAGATAGTTGTATATGTGTGGTGTTATTTATGAGTTCTCTGTTCTGCTTCATTGGTCTATATGTCTGTTTTGGTACCAGTATCATGCTGTTTTGGTTACTGTAGCCTTGTAGTATAGTTTGAAATCAGGTATTGTGATGCCTCCAGCTTTTTTCTTTTTTGCTTACAATTGTCTTAGCTATACAGGGTCTTCTTTGATTCCATATGAAATTTTAAATAGTTTTTTTCTAATTCTGTGAAGAATGTCAATGGTAGTTTGATGGGAATAGTGCTGAATCTATAAATTACTTTGAGCAGTATGGCTATTTTCATGATATTGATTCTTCCTATCCATGAAGATGGAATGTTTTTCCATTTGTTTTTGTCCTCTTTTATTCCCTCATTCAAGATATTCTTAGGTTTTAGATAAAACTACTTCTAAGAAGTATTTTTCAAAGAAATGGTTACCCTGATGGGTCAGAGGTGAGAGATGTTTCTCTGATAACGGAATCCCTCACAGGTTTTCACAAGGGGGGTTAATTTTCTGGGGCTTCACCCTATTTGCAATGATGATAATGTGAATTCCATGTAACCTTCTTGGCATCAACCTCTAAGGTCAGAAATGAAATCTCAGCCTTCTAGTTTCACTTAATAACCAATCAGGGAACCATCACCAGTCTTTTCCTTCCTTTTTTCTTCCTTCCTTTCCCTTTCCTCTTCCCCTTTGCCTTCCCCTTCCTTCCTTCCCTCAGTCTCACTCAGTCCCCAAGGGGGAGTGCTGTGGTGCAATCATATCCCACTTGCAGTCTCAAGCATCCAGGGTCAAGCAATCCTTCCATCTCAGCTCTCAGAGTAGCTGGGACTAAAGAGGAGTACCACCACACTTGGCTAGTTTTTTATTTTTTGTTTTTGTAGAAACAGGGTCTCACTATATTGCCTAGGCTGGTTTCAAACTCCTGGCCTCACCTGATCGTCCTACCTTGTCCTCCCAAAGTGTTAGGATTGCAGGTGTGAGCCACTGCACTGGGCCCGATTCTTTACTGAAAATGTTCCTCAAGCTCTTCAGTCTGTACTACCACTGGTAGAAACGAGTAGGATGCACTTCCTGCTTTCTATAAGAAGTCCAATAACAAAGCAAAGAAAAAAATTCTCACTTGTAAGCCACCAATTGATGGCTGGCTATACCCCCTGAGAGTTTAACTATTTCAGTTAAGTGCTGCCTCAGCTTTCTAGATCTGCACTGTGCCATGATGGCCTCTGGTCACATGTGGCTATTGAGCACTTGAAATGTAGCCAGTGCAGCTGAGGAACTAAGTTTTAATAATTTAATTCCAAATTATTTAAATTCAAATTTAAAAACTTATACTTGTTTTAGTTCTTGGAAAGCCTTTTCATCTATTTTTGTTAACTTGGATATGTGGCTCTACTTTTTCATTTGTAAATTTTATGAAATCTGAATACAAATAAAGTTTTTCCAGTGAAAACTTAGCTCCCCAATTGAGATGTGCTGTAAGTGAAAAATACACACTGGATTTCAAGGACTTGGTATAAAAAATGTAAAATGTCTCACTAATAATTTTTTACATTGATTATATATTGAAATGATAATATTTTGAATATATAAGGATAAGAAAAACACGTTATTAAAATTGCTTTTACCTTTTGCCTTTTTAACATGGCTACTATAAAATTCAAAATTATATATGTAACTCACATTATGTTTCTATCTGATAGCTCCATTATATATAATGTAATTTATATGTCATATAATGTAACATATAACATATCTAATGTGATATATATTACATTATATTTAATGTAATATATATAACATATGATATAGTATAGCAGACTTCTAATCTGCTTATCTTTTTAATTCTTTCTCTTCTTTTTTTCCTTACATGCACTGGAACTTATGATAGACATTGAGTATAGGAATATTTTGGTACTGAGCAGAAAGAATCTAGAACCCTGGATTCCTGTTCCATTTCTGCCCCTAATTCCCCTGGGGCCAGTGCCTGTCTCTCTTCTTCCTGTTTTTCCCAGGCATGCCATGTGGACTCAATGAGATAATGAATGTCGGCGTGCTTTGTCAACTGGGAAGCAGTTCAGATGTTGCTGAACAAATGACAGCTGATATTTGCTCGGTTTTTTCCCCAATATCCTGCCCTAAATCAATTAGTTCAGCAGTGTTTATTAGTTGCCTTTAAGTGCTAGGCACTGTGCTACTGCTAGAAAAAAATAAAATGCATGTATACACATATGGTCCCTTCTGGGGACGGGGTGAAGTCTATAGGGATAGACCAAAGCCATAGGGTAGTGGGATAGGGACTATAAGAGAAGTGTGTGCTAGAGAAGAGATACCCAGCTTCATCTGGAAGGTTCTAGAAAAGCTTCACAAGCAGTTTCACAACCTTTCTCACACTCTTTTATTGAGGCTCACTGGAACTGCTTGTTTTGGGTTTTTTTGCTTGTGTGCCTGTTTGTTTATTTGGGGTTTTTTAAAGATAGGGTCTTGCTGTGTTGCCTAGGATGGAGTACAGTGGCATGACCATGGCTCACTGCAGCCTTGACCTCCTGGGCTCAAGCAGTTCTCCCACGTCAGTGTCCTGAGTAGCTGGGACTACAGGCATACACCACACCTGCCTAATTTTTTTTTTTTTTATTTTGTGTGCATGTGTGGAGATTGTCCCTCACTATGTTGCTTAGACTGGTCTCGAACTCCTGGGCTTAAGGTATCTTCCCACCTCAGCCTCCCTAAATGCTGAGATCATACGCCTGAGCCACCGTGCTGGGCTTTGGAGCTGATTTTTCCAGGCAAGCAAGAGAGTAGAAGAGCTAGGTACAGAGTATAAAGACATAAAGCCTGACATAGGTTTGTGGAATCTTGCTTATGACTGTGTGTGGCTCGAGAATGCAGTAGGAGTCTGTTGAGACTATATGGGAAGAATCTGCAGTGGGGCAGAAAGAGAGGACAGGCCAGGACTGTGGGGAAGGGAGCATAAACAGGATATGGAACAATGGAAAGGAGCAACTCAGAAGACTTCAGATAACCACGTGTCCCCCCTGGCTTTTTTTTTTAAAGCCCTGGGTGCACTTAAAAAAAGGCTGAAATGGGACTGAATTTGAGGAGGCTGACCTCTTGCCGTCGATCTGAGCTAAATATGGTCAGTTATAGAACTCATAGCTTTTGTGTTTTAATTCTAGGAATCAAATGCCATCTGTATCTGTGTCTGTCTTTCAGCTGCTGCCACAATAGAATCTGTTCTCATGAATTTAACTCAGGGAAGGAGGCAGACCCAGAGTCAGAGAGCACGGTACGGGTGAGATAGCGTCGGGACGCAGAGAAGCAGAGTTTGCTGTGCGGCACCCAGGAGGCACACCCAGCCAGCGCTGTATGGGATCAGGGAAGGTTGGAGGAAGGCTACTGCATTGGCCCTGAGAAGAGCAGTTAGAGATAGCTAGGAAAGGGATGCGGGAGAGTTGGGATGGGTATTCTGAGTACCACGCAAAAGCACCTTGTATAGGAAAGGGTGTGTGGTTTGCTGTAGCTGAAGCGCACATGAGAACAAGGCATGGCAAAGGGCACAGGACTGTGGCAGAAGATTATTGTTCATGCAGACAGGTTTGAATAACCTTCTGAGTGCATTGGAGAGCCCTGAACACTGTGGGAGGATCAGATTTGTGTTTCAGAGAGAAAATGAATGAGAGGGAGGAAAGCCCAGAACCAGGTCCAGTGAAGGCATTGCTTGGATAAACCAGGTAAACAGTGAAGTAATGAAACAAGAACAGTGACACTGAGGTGTTTATTAAATTAACACAGACATGAATTAATTACATTGAATGCATATCAAAATGAAAGGTTGAACTCTACCAGCCTATAACACACACCGACAGCAACTGATCAGTGTAAAAACTGAGGCACAAGGGGACAAGGGCCCTGCAGTGCGTGGGGTCTTTGTGGTTTTTTTTTAAACTTTTAATTTTTGTGGGTACCTGGTAGGTATATATATTTATGGGGTATATGAAATATTTTGATACAGGCATACAGTATGAATGATCACATGAGGGTAAGTAGGGTATCCATCGCCTCAAGCATTTATCCTTTGTATTACAAACAATCCATTTATGCTCTTTTAGTTATTTTTAAATGTACAATTATTATTAACTATAGCTGCCCTGTTGTGCCATCAAATACTAGGTCTCATTCATTCTTTCTAGCCATTTTTTTGTACCATTAACCATCCCTACTACCCCACTCCTCACAACCCTTCCCAGCGTCTGGAAACCATGTTTCTATTCTCTATCTCCATGAGTTCAATTGTTTTAATTTCTAGCTCACACAAATAAATGGTTTGTTTGTTTGTTTGTTTGGAGATAGGGTCTTGTTCTAGGCTGGAGTGCAGTGGTGCGACCATAGCTCATGGCAGCCTTAAATTCCTGGGCTCAAGCAATCCTCCTACTTCAGCCTCCGAAGTAGCTTGGATTATAGGCATTCACCATCATGCCCAGCTAATTTTTGTATTTTTAGTAGAAATGGGGTTTCACCATGTGGATCAAGCTGGTCTTGAACTCTTGACTTCAGGTGATCCACCTGCCTCAGCCTTCCAAAGTGCTGGAATTACAGGTGTGAGCCACTGTGCCCGGCGTAAAAAAAAAAAAAAATTTATGGAGACCCGATCTCACTGTTTAAGACCAGGTTGGTCTCAAACTCTTGGCCTCAAGAAGTCCTCCTGCCTCAACCTTTCAAAGCACTGGGATTACAGGTGTGAGGCACTGTACTCAGCCCAGTGTGTGCTTCTGATGGCTATTTTCAATTGGCATAAATGTGGTTTGATATGCACATATATAGAGCACAAACCCTAAAATAAGAGATGGGTCATATAAAGCATTTAGCAAAATTGTTCTTTTTGATAGAATAGGACTTGCTTTATTGTGATGTTACATTTTGATGGCATGGGGTGAAGAAAGGTATAAATAAATTGGTATTTTTCTGTGTATATTTTACTTGCTTATATAATAATTGTGTAATATATTACAAGATGATAATTCTTCAAAATTTAATATTCTTTTGATCAGATTGAGATCCATTTTTCTCATATTAAAATATGTTTCACTGAATTCTTTTAAGGAGGGATTTCAGGTGTTCCATTCTTATCTTTAATCAAAATGTAATTTCTTCTCTATTTCAGTTAATGAATAGTAGAGACAGATTAAGAGAAGAGCTTGATTATGAAAAATCATTAGTTCAAGATATGGTAAGATGATTTACATTATTTCCTACAAATTTGAATTCAGGAACTTAATTTAACAATGAAAGTTTTATAAACTTTGTGATCGTTTCCTGTGAATGACTCATTTCACCTTTATCAAAAATCTAAGTACAGGCATAATTATAAACATTTGTAAATGGCCATTTTAAAGAAAGCAGTTAGAGTAGTGCAGCAGTAAATATGCTTACTAGAGTCTTGTGTAAGAAATAGTATTATCATTTAAACCCATGTATAAAATTTCTGCATTTTATTATGGAGGTTTAAAACTACAAATATGAGAGCACAATATTTTGAAGAAATTGCTATTTTTAGTTACAAATTGCCATAAGTGATAATAAAAAAAAGAGCCCAGCTAGATATTTTGGCATTCTGTGTTAGTCTCATAAGAAAACACTGCCTTTTTATGTTCTTTTAAGAGAACTTTCCAGACGGCTGGTCTTTTATCAGTTGACTACCCAGCCCCTGGCCCCCCCACGGCAGCCCCCCGCCCAGCTTATGGTGGCGTACTTGGCTTTCAGCTGATTACCACTAGTATGTCTTTGTTACGGGAAACTGACTGTGTTTATTATAATAAAAAATAAAACACAGCTTGACTTGCGTTCTAAATGTGCTTGAAAAGAATATGATACTGTTTGGAAGAGAAAAGGTTGCTCATAAGGAAATCAACACCACTTCAGATATTGAAACATTCGCTCTTTTACAGCTTGTCACACTTTGTGCCAAGTCATGACTGTTTCCCTAACTCTGTTTTGTTACTCTCAGCACCCTGTGTTTTGGGTTTCTTGTCATAGAAATGAATGCAAAACAATTCTCCTGGATTACAATAAAGCCTTCTATGAAACCAACTTGGGAATGCAGGCAACAAAAAAAATTATGGTTGGCAATTCAAAAAACCATGTGTTAACAAATATGTTATTTTGAGCCCTAACTTTTAAATACCTGGCATATAAAAATAGTCTCCATTACTTGAGCCTACTTGGTGAATTTCTTCTACCCCATCCCCACTCTCTTCTGTCATTCCTCCAAAGTTCAGGCTTTGCTTTGGAAAACAAACAACTAAATGTGCATATTGTCATTAAAATTGAAAGCGTTTTTATAGAGTGGAAAGCCAATGTTACGTTGTTTGTTAGCAGCAATAGAGAAGAAATTAAACTACTCAATCAGTGAATTTGTGCCTATACTAGGAGCAGATCCCATACTCTTTGAATGACTGTGCCTCTTTATTTTAACTGTAAGCCTTTAACGGGTGCTATTGTATCGCTCACAGGGGAACCAATCACGTTTTATTTTGTGGTTTAGAAGTTTGTTGAGCCCCAGGCTTGTTGCCAAGCAGCAAGAGCCTGCACCACAAACCCCAGGACAGCAGAGCCTTCAGGATGCTTAGACTAGTGTAGGAGCTCAAGATTTCAATAGAGGGAGTGGGCTTGATGTTCTTCGAGTGATCGACATTGCACACCTGCTTTGGACCCATCATGGCCACTATTTCTCCACCTTCTCCCTGCCCCTGCAAGGCATTCTGCTATTGGCTTTCTTGTTGCTATTTGAGCTTCCTTTGTTTCTTGCTGTCCTGCATTTTTCCAGGCCAGGATTTGTGATTGCACAGAAAAGGGAGAGTGGGAGAAGGTAGAGTTGACCGCCGTCATTTTGTGAAAATTTAAATACTTTCTAGCTAGAAGGGTTTTGTTACATGCTTGTCTATTACTATTTTCCAATAAAAGTTACTTTCTGACCTGTTAGAAGTATAGGGCAAAAAGTCAAAGAACTAGCAGTAAAAAGGTGCAATCAGTAAGTATATGTAAACTGGCTGGGTGTGGCAGCTCATGCCTGTAAATCCCAGTGCTTTGGGAGGCTGAGATGGGAGGATCGCTCGAGCCCAAGAGTTCGAGACTCTCCTGAGAAACATAGTGAAGCCCCATTTTTACATAAAATAAAGAAGCTTAGCCAGGCCTGGAGGTGCATGCCTGTAGTCCTCCTACTCAGGAAGCTAGGTGGGAGGTGGGAGGATGGCTTGAGCCAAGTGAGCTGCGATTGTACCACTGCTTTTAGCCTGGGCAACAGAGCAAGACCTCATCTTTAAAAAATTATAATTATGATAAAGAAATAAATATTATATGTAACATACATATTATTTATTATATATAACATATATATATATATATATATATATATATATGGTAGGTAAGCAGTGCTATCTAGAGTGACTGTATCCTTAGATTGGCTTTGAGCAGGCATACGAAATAATTTTGTATCTTCCTTTGATTCCTACACTAAGTGGCTTTCATTTGTCTTGAAGTTAACAAAAGAGAGGGTCTTCATTAGAAAAACACCATGGTTGAACTCTTCTCTTCCTTCATTTCCATTTGCTTCACCCCAGTTTGCCCAGTTGCTTGGAACAGTCCAGGCTGGGGTTAGGAAGGAAGCACATAGGCTGCCCTAGCCCCGTTCTGGAAGCACAGCACTAACACCCTAACTGGGTTCCTGATGCCTGTATTCCCTCCGAGGCAGTGCAGCCCTGTTCTGTCATGTGGCAGTGTTTGGCCATCCAGTTAGAAAACGGATGCTTTCAGTGGTCTGTGCAAAAGCACGATTACATGGAAGCTCTGCAAATTGTGGCTCTTTATCAAGACACAGATGACACAAGCATGGGCCAATGTGACTGTGTCCCTGTGTGCCATGGCAGGCAGAGGAGGAGGTTCTGCTGTCCGTGTGGTCTCTGTTTTACCATCAGTGAGTCTTTGCCCGCTGGTCAGTCAAATGTGCTCCATGCAGTCTTGGACATTTGTTAGTCCTGCATAGCCTTCACAATCTACTTTTTTTAAATAGCATTTTTTTTTTTTGAGACGGAGTTTCGCTCTTGTTACCCAGGCTGGAGTGCAGTGGCGTGATCTCGGCTCACCGCAACCTCCGCCTCCTGGGTTCAGGCAATTCTCCTGCCTCAGCCTCCTGAGTAGCTGGGATTACAGGCACGCGCCACCATGCCCAGCTAATTTTTTGTAGTTTTAGTAGAGACGGGGTTTCACCATGTTGACCAGGATGGTCTTGAACTGCTGGACTCAAGCAATCCTCCCACCTCGGCCTCCTAAAGTGCTGGGATTACAGGCATGAGTCACTGCAGCTGACCCACAGTCCACTTATGAAGTCGAAGAGCTAGAAGGCAAACCTTGTGAAAGGAACAGCTCCCCTGAGGGTGTTTTCAAAATTCATCAAAATGAGCTCCATGAATTCTTGCAGCAATCCACCCCTCCTGAAATCAGCAGGTAGATTTCTCTCTCTACACTCAGGAGATTCAGACAAGGATGCCTCAGAGTTCTGTTTCTTCTGTGCTGTTCCTTCTCCCTGAACTGCTCTCTCTTGGTCAGAACCTGGTTAGTTCCTCTCATCTTTCAGGTCAGAGGGCAGATGCTGCCTCCTCTGGGAAACCTCTCTGACACTGTCTTCCCTTGCCTGGAAGAGGCGCCCACCCTCATTCTGACACAGCACATAGTTGTCCTCTTGTGGCTCTCATCACATTCTTTAGAGATGGCCTGTTATCTTACCTGCTGTTTCCATTCTGTGAGCTACGGTTTTACCCCTAAAACCTAACGTGGTGGCCCCCGTGAAGTTGGTGGCCAGTAAGCATTTGTTGTGAGTAAAATCGAAGGGATAACAAAAATAGTTGAGAATAGCTTAACCCACACTATACTTGGTATGAACTATATGTACTTTAATAAGCCCATAATACTAATACATAAGTGACATAGCTACACAATATACAGAGTAACTACAGTGGGGTTTTCAGGATTAATTTCCAGGTTTCATTCCAGTGGTTCTCAAGCTTTTTGGTCTCAGGATCTCCTTACACTCTTAAAAATTATTGAGCCCCCCCCGCCACCCAAAGGAAATTTGGTTTAGATATAGTTTGGATGTGTGTTCCCATCAAAATCTCAATTGAAATGTAAGCTCCAATGTTGGAGGGGGGACCTCATGGGAGGTGATGGTATCATGTGGGAAGATTTCTTGTGAATGGTTTAACACCTACTCCTGTGGTACTGTCTGTATGATAGGGAGTAAGTTCTGGAGAGATCTGGTCATTTAAAAGTGTGTAGTACCTCCCCCTGTTCTCTCTTGCTCCTGTTCCCACATGGGAGAAATCTGCTCCCCCTTCACCTTCCACCATGATTGGAAGCTTCCTGAGGCCTCCCCAGAAGCAGAAGGTGCCACGCTTTCTGTACAGCCTGCAGAACCGTGAACCAATTCAACCTCTTTTCTTTATAAATTCCCCAGTCTCAGATATTTCTTTGTAGCAATGTGAGAACAGACTAATACAGATGTTTTATCTATTGATATTTACCACATGTGAAATGAAATTATTTATTAAATGACTTAAAAATAACACTAAACTCTTTACATGCTAACATAAATGGCATATTGTTTATAAGAAAATCTTTCCCAAAACTGACATTGTCTTACGTGTGTGTGTGTGTGTGTGTGTGTGTGTGTGTGTGTGTGTGTGTGTGTGTGTGTCTGTCTGAGACAGCGTCTTACTCTGTCACCCAGGCTGCAGTGCACTGGCATAATCACAACTCACTGCAGCCTCAACTCTTGGTTCAGCCTACCAAGTAGCTGGGATTACAGGTGCGTGCCAACACATCTGGCTAATTTTTCTATTTTTTGTAAAGACAGGGTTTTGCCATGTTGCCCAGGCTGGTTTTGAACTCCGGGGCTCAAGTGATCCACCCACCTCAGCCTCCCAAAGTGCTAGAATTAAAAGCATGAGCCATCACACCCAACCACTTGTTTTTGCAAATTTCTTTAACATTTGGCTCCCTGGAAACTATTTAAATTCTCACAGATGCTTCTGTATTCTCTGCCATGATAAATATCACATAGCTTCCGAAAAACTCCAATGTACACTCATGACACCATGAGAATGAAGAAACAGTGACTACTCTCTTAGCATTATTATGAGAATAATATAGGCCTCACAGACCCCCTAAGGTTTGGGG